ATGTGAAATAAAATAATTAATCATAGTTAACAAAGCAATTATCAAGACTGCAAGACCCACCTACTTCACTAGTATGCTGTTCTGAACAAAATGGAGGACTCAACAAATTTTATCAGATGACTATCATCACACATAAGTACTAAAAACAAAAGTTAACAAACACCTATTAATATTGTCCTTTCAATATTGCCCAGGCAATATTAGTTTAACCGGGAGTGAGGAGGTGAGGGTGGTCAAGCAGCTTCTGTCAACCCTGTGCCCACGGAAGTTTACAGATTTTACGAGTTCCTCATCGATATACAAATATTTGAAAGAAGGGAGAGTCATCCCATGAGTACATCACTGTCACTACGACAGACAAAAGTGGAAAGTATGAAGATAAAGGAACAGAAGGGAAGAAAGGGTTTGTGACTGCATTTTCTCTCTGTAAGAAAAATAACTATGCCAAAAAAAAAAGTTAGCCAAAATTTGCTAAGCCTTTCTAACCCATCTATCTCCATCATTTGAGAGATGCAGTATTTTCTAATTTGAATGCTAATTATTAAGAATATCCTCTAAAAATGAGAAAACATAAAACACTAAAAGTTAGGACCCCTATTTCATGATATGATTCATGCAAGATGTGAAAACATACCTAGCATTTTCTGCTTTATGGTAATACTAAAATATCCTCACCACAGGCCATTGCAAATTGAAGTTATTGTCTCAGACTTACCTCCTGCAATTTAGACTGTATCCACTGGCCCAAAAGTGCCAAACTATCTCGAGGACAAATGGCCCAGATCATTGTGAGAAAAATCAGACCTAGGAAATCCAATAAATGAACCAAGCTAGCCTTTTCTACCTGAGAAAAATCAAAACAATGAAAATAACACTTAATAAATTCAGACAGTACATGCTTACATTTTCTAGTTTCATCTTGTGTAATCACATTAAAAACTACATGTGTTTAACTGAACTTCACCAAGTAAGATTGCAAGTTCTCTTCTTCTGTGTGCTTTATCCTGTCCCAGTCTGTTTTTCCTATCTTTTGCTTACATACTTATGTATTTATTCATTCATTCATTCATTC